AGCAAGCAACCTGGTCCGTAAGCAATAGCTTCGTAGGTACAGTAATTATGCCGGAGCTTAATTACATAGTACCTTAGTCTTTGGCCCCTTCCCAAAACTAAATTAGCGTAGACTCCAACCGCTGGGTATCTACTCGGGGCGCCAGTCCCCATTCGCCCAACCCTCCTGCTTCTTCTGAGAGAACATTGAAAAACTGATGGTAGTCCTTACGCATCTACCATCTGAACTTCCATGGACGCAATCAAGACCTACATTCCAGCGATCTGAACTCCAGACTTCCTTGGCCGACGCTCAACATGTTCGCACAGCTATCGGGAGTCATCTTTCCAGGGACTTTGAGAGCGCAACAAACACTTCAGCTGGTCTCCTTCTATTATAGCGCCATTGGCCTCGTCGTCGCCTGGGCTTCTTGGAGAATATGGACCTTTACGGTTCGACCAGCGCTCTACCCCGATGAACCAAAGCAGCTGCCGTATGCCATACCATGTACGTACTTATCACAGATGTTTTCACGGAGCATGAGCTTAACACTTATGACAGTTATAGGTACGTTGTCTGCCCAGCACTTGCTTGTGCTCCTGGCACTGATTGCACTTCCTATTAGGACATGTTGTAGGTTTTATGAAGGATCATAACCGTGTCTTTGACTGTGGGCGGTACGTCTTGGATGACTATTTCAGGATGGAACGTGCAATGCTGAGATTTTCTGTCTGACTAGCGAGTATTTTGGCAACACCAGAGAGCCTTTCTCGTTGACGATCATGGGTGAGACCATCTATGTTGTCTCCTCTCCCCGGGACATTCAGACAATCTACAAAAAACCGAAGGCCATATCATTTGACCCATTCATCCAGCAAGTCCTAGCAAACCATGGCGCAACCCCAGCCACCATTGACAAGATGTTTGGGAGTTCATTATCGGCTTCTGGTCGCAAAAATCTCATGGACCAGTCTCACGACGATTGGAAGTTTCAGCTGCAACCCGGTGAACAGTTAACAATCCTGCAGACGAAGTTTCTCAATAACATCGAATCGTACCTTCAATGGGACAATCTCCCACCCAAGGCGATCTTGTCTTCCTCAGAGTCACAAGCGACTGTCTCACTTTGGGCACTGTGCGGCGAGACGCTTCTGAGAGCTGCCACAAGGGGCTTCTTTGGAGATCGAATTTTTGAGATCGCCCCTGGAATCTTGGACGCCATCTACGCGTTTGACAAGGATAATTGGAAACTTAACTACCAGTATCCATACTTCGCGGCCAAAGAAATGTACGATGCAAAGAAGAAGGGTGTCGAGTGTATTCAGGCCTATTTCAGGACATCTGAAAGAGATAAGGAAGAGACATCTTGGATCATGAGGACCTTACATACCAACTTTCGCTCACTGGATATCCCGGAATGGGAATGCGCCAGCTTGGTGTGGATGATATTCTGGGTGTAAGTGAAATTAGATGGTCTCCCATCTTCATGCCTTGCTGACCATCCTAGCTCCAATTCAAACGCATTCAAATTGTGTTTCTGGTACATCGCACATCTTGTACATGACACCACTCTTCTTCGAGCAGTCAAAGAGGAAACCAACCCGGCCTTCACAGATGACGTGGCTGATATGGACTATCTGCTTGAGAAATGCCCTCTCCTCGAATCCATCTACGAAGAGATCTTGCGCAGTCTCTCTGAAGCTATAGGAGCAAGGACAACTGTTTCCGATTCTGTTGTTGGAGACAAAGTCATGAAAGCTGGCACCAAAGTTCTGATGCCATATCGTCAGTTGCACCTCGACGCAGACGTCTTCGGTTCGGATGCTCGGACCTTCAACGCAACACGGTTTATGGAAAACAAGCAATTGTCCAAGTCCACCAACTTCCGACCCTTTGGAGGGGGTTCAACGATCTGCCCAGGCCGTTTCATCGTCCGGCGCGAGGCATACCTGTTCGTAGCAGTTCTCCTTCAGCGTTACGAGATAGCACTGGATGGTAGCCAAAATCTACCCAGGGTCAATGAACGGGTACCCACGGGTGGCATTCGAACACCACGGATGGAAGACGATCTACAAATCCGTCTGACCCGTATTCGGTAATGCATATCTAGTGGCTGGATACCGCATAGGATGATGAATGATCAATCACATCCATATTACCGTTCCGCCACCTGCACACGAATGATCCTGCTCAGTGTATCCATCAAATCAAATTAGTCAAACAGATTAGATTACACGCTTGACAAATTAAATTAAATCAGTGCTTTTGTCAAAACAAATTAACGTTTGTGAATTTGTTAAATCAGTCGAATTGTATGTGTAGAAGACAATTATAGGAATGCAGCTCAAAACGACATTCCTGGAGAAGGGCTCTAAAAATGACGCGGCATTGGTCCTTAGCAATTTAGCGGATGATTTATTACTACAAGGATCATCAGAGGGCTTAAATGACCATAATTTAACCGTCATTTAACAATAATTTCGAGGAAAAAACGTCCAAAATAGTATAATTTCATTAGTTTTTAGAAGCTTGGCTGCATACTTCTATGTAAACTAGATTACATCACGATTAGGCTCAAACTAAGCACACATTGATGGTAATTTAGGCATAGCTTTCAAAGGGCTTCATTCTGTTAAGTAGGAGAAATTTAATGTTCCTCTTGCCAAGGCTGCAATATAATTTTGACGCTAAATTCATTTAAACTCACAGGAATCCTAAACCGCTTAGGGCAAGAGTAACTACCTTATCAGGGACATGAGACATACATTTAACTTGATTTGATAAATCAGTCAGAGTAGATTAGGCGTTTTGATTACATAATCAGAGAAAACTGGGGTCTTGATTTGCTTTGTTTGATTTGATGGATACACTGAATTCCTGCTCCTGTGCGTCAGCAAAGAGTTTATTGGCATCTTCACGTAACATGCAGGTTAGAGGTGTGATTGCGGCTCAGCAAACATCCAAATCGCAGCCTTGTAATCCTGTCTCGCTACCATTTCCAACGTGATCAAGCTACGGAAGATGCGATTCGCGGTGTTTTGGCCCAAAGGATTTTGTTGAATCCAAGTTAATGAAACAAGACCCACTTAATCTACAGTCATGGTGGCAAGGTTCATCATCCTCTCAGCAGCAGAGACATTTTGTTTTTAGCTAGTTTGCTTATTCAAGCCCCACTCACAGGAATTCCCCCCACTGTAAGTGGGTTCCAGAGGGATCCACCCATTGGGCCACGGCTAGTAGAGATAACTGACATGTAGCCAACAAGACACTCTTTCATCACCAACACCATGTACTAGGTGGATACCCGATCCGTAAAGCTGACTAGTTAGTCAGCCTCGTCCTCGGCCACCAATACCGCCAAGAATTCATCATCCCCACACTATCTGGGGTTAGCCATCGGCACAGGATGCACTGGCTAGTGGTAAAGAGACACTGCAACATGTAAAAGTAAGTATCATGCGCGTGCCGACACAGAACGGAAGCTACCTGGGATGCTGCTCTGCATAACAGGCACAACGACCTTAAGAGCCTTGCTCCAATACCATAACACGGTATAAAGAAGGAATATCAAAATCCCTATGGCAAACATTGAAGCTGAATCTTGTAGGCTCATAGTATACAAATGCGTCTCGTCGGGTGTATGTTAATCTTTGAGGTCGTCGAGTTCCAGGAAGATTGGTTGCAAATCTGGACTTCCTTAGCTGAGGTCGCAGAACTGTTTATAGAGCAAAAAAGTCCTCCACTAAAAAGCTATTCGTGCTTGCTCAGCTTCAGCCCCCATATGTGTCATGTCATCACAGTCGAGCACTGCATGTTTTAGTGGGCCATCCGGGCAGATTTTACAGTAACGTTAAAGCTATCTTTTGCTCTAGACTTTGCAATGTCTATCTGTAACTTCTATTTTTGTACCATTATTGTTAGAAATGGTCTTATATTATTAGCATTAAATATACACAATCCAATGACGAAGTTGGAAAAAGAATAATACAATTTTTGCAGCAGGCCTAACCAATAGATCACCTTGCCACGCACCGCCCCATGTTGGACCTGCCGGACCTGAAACAATTGGAAATCAAAAAGGTAAATTGTTATGATATTGGACTATCTTTCACCCTTATAGGTGTATCTCATTTAGTCTTGGAGGGTTCTGATTAGGATGTCTATCATCATAAGAACGTCCAACATGGGGCGAAGGGATACAACCTCATCGGATCATCGTTCAGGAGCCTAGATTCAGATAAGCCTCTGCCACAGCCACGAATCATGAGGATACAGCATTCTTATGGTGGAGATCAAATCAGGATCTCCCCAGTATCGAACCTTCTCAAAATCGATACAGATGGCATAAATAAGAGCTCAAGAGATACTTCACTACGCCCCCAGTCACAACTTCAGCTATGGCCAATCAAACAATGGCGCCGTCAATATCAACAGTTGAGTCTCTGCTTGACTCTCAATTGCAATCATTCTATTTCCTTCTTGCAGTGGCTGTTATGACTCGTGTTGGCACTGGTATGGCTTGCTGGATTGAAAAGCAGAGCAAGTTCAATGGAAAAGAGCCTCCCACAGTTCCATATTGGATCCCTGTTTTAGGCAGCCTACTTACATTCTTGGTTAATACGGACTCATTCATCATGAGCTCAGTGTGAGTTATTGTACCATATCTCGATATCAACGGATCAAACAAACTGATAGTGCTCTAGCAAATCATTCGGTCCTTCGACCCCTTTTCAGGTACAACTTGCAGGCATGAAGATATCGATTGTATCAGGTTTCAAGAACACTGAAGCCATTCTCAAGGCGAGCTCCAGGATGACCACTACCCCTGGGGCAATTTTTGCCCTGACACGTCTTCTTGGAACACCAAAATACATCATACCATTTTACCTGGCCGATGATTCAGGAATCGGGATCGACCCTCGTCCAGGTAGTAGAGTTGAGCCCCAGAACCGGGTCATCTATCATCAGCAGCGCAATGCTCACCGCTTCTTAAGTGGGTCAAGCCTGAAGGAGATGAACCGGAGGTATCTGGATACTCTCCAGCGCAATCTCCTCGACCTCAAAATACCTGATACCTGGATCGAACTGCCGGACCTATACTCTTTCATTCAACGTGAGGTGTTTCGGGCATCCGTTGAAGCAATGTGCGGAAGCTATATCCTCTCGCTCAATCCGACATTTATAGAGGACTTTTGGACATGGGACGCCAACGTCCCTACTCTTATCAGAGCGTATCCGAGGTGGCTTGCACCTACAGCCTATCGAGCAAGAGACAAGATGTTGGGGCATGTGAAGCGATGGCACGCATTTGCCAAAGAAAACTCCGACTGGACCAAGTTTGGACCCAACGATCCCGAATGGGATCCTTTCTGGGGCAGCAAGCTGGTCAAGGCTCGACAAACTTCCTGCCTTGAGACCAAAGTGATGGATGCTGATACTATTGCTTCTGAGGACCTTGGACTGATATTCGCGTAAGCGTCCCATGCCGCCATTCGGTCAACATCTTTGCAATTTTAGATAGAATGACACGTACTGACTTTGCACATCTAGAGGAAACACCAATGCAGTACCCGCGATTTTCTGGCTATTCTTCCATATCCTGGAAGATCAAAAGCTACAAGAACGTGTTGAGCAGATCATACGTTCAGACGATATTCTGATACCATCAGAAGCCGAAATGCTCAAATTGTATGATTCTCCGCTTCTGCAATCCATCTATGCCGAAACCCTCAGGCTGCGAGTTGGAATCGCGATTACTAGGACACCGGAACAGGAAGACTTCAACCTGGGGGCGTGGCGGCTTCGAAAAGGCCAACTCATCAGCTTGATGAGTCGGACAGCAGCCTTGGACAAAAGCGTTTGGAGCACCGGCAATCCGGAAAACTCGCATGCTTTGGATTCGTTCTGGGCAGAGAGGTTCCTGAGATACCCAGACGACCCTAAAAGCGGCCCCCTACGCGAAGCCACTGGAGCCAACACCACTACGGAAAGTGAAAAGTCAACGAGTGGTTCAAACGAGCCCAGGTATACCACGGGAGGCTTGTCAGGCGCGTGGATCCCTTACGGTGGGGGCAAGCGTATGTGCCCGGGCCGCCATTTTGCCAAGCAAGAGATTCTGGCCACACTCATCGTGATGTGCGTGTTGTACGACATCGAGCTTGTTTCCCACGACCTCAAAGATTTGCCCAAGGCAAATCTGAAGTACTATCCATTGGGCGGCCTGCCCCCAGACCGTAAGCTACCTGTTAGGATCAGGCGCCGTACATTAGGCCATAAGTGAGGTGAATGCCGTTTACGTCGTTGATTTTGCGATCGAAGGTCGCTTTTGAGAGACTCGAGTATAGTGATACGTATAGAATCTCCCCAATGCATCTGGTAGAGTTCGAGGAGGGTAGTAAATGGATTGGAGGATGCCTATTAGCATGGGTGCGGCTTCACTCGATTGGATGCTCGATTGGACCTGGTCCTGGCTGTACATCCTTCCACGCCGCCGTGAAGTGGCTGGCGGATTCTGATGATCCTTTTTCATCCCCTCTGCGGCACAAGGAGTGATCTACTATGTACCTGGGGCTCCATCAGAGGAAAACCTCCACCTACAACAAGTCCGGATGTGGCATAAACGAGATAGATTTGCTTCGCGCAGCAATTAATCTTCGAAAGCACCGTGACACTGGGGACGAGGGTTGTATTCCTTCGTCTCCTGCCAGAGGGCCCATTTCAGCGTGCTATTAGCGGCAATGTTAGCAGGGAGGCTCTGTACCAAAATGTCAATTCGGTAATAGTAAGATACTAGTAGTAAGAATAGTGCTTATGAAATGCTCAGATCAACAGCACAACAGCGGCGTCAATATTAATAACAGGCAGTTGATTGGCAGCAGCAAATGATGCTGATGACTATGACGTCGTAACGTTGAGGCGTTGATTCCTGCGCTAAAGAGGGGCCGATGCAGGTGACGAAGAAACACCTCTATGACCAATAAGGCCAATTCGCTTGCCAGCACACTCTGTTAAAACCCAGTTCCTAGAGTAATAATATCCACTCCCTTCTAAGACTTCGGCCCCAAATCCTCCAAGAGTAAGGTTTTCTGGCTTGACTCGCGCGCTTTTGCTTCCACAGGTACTGACTCCTCGACCAGTGTAGTTGGTTGATTTTAAAGTCGCCCCCACGCGAACGTGTGTTGTACTACGGAGGGGGCCTGAAGTATTGTTAACTCGGCGCTAGTATCGTTACTTGCAAACCTGATTAGTACAAGACAGCTATGCCCAAATGAAGTTAAATGTAATAATTTGACCCATCAAAATGGATGCGGACTAAATAAGCTTTACAGTGACGAATCACAACACTATGTTTCGCTAATAAGTACTAGCTGCTCCTAGCATCGGACTAACAATACTTATGGCCCCCGCCCGTAGTACATGGTAGCGTCTCCTTGAAGGTTGCTGACTGAGCTGCAGGTAGGCCATCCTGCAGAGATTGTAATCCACTTATTCATCACATCAAACCTGAGACACACCAGCAGCACCCGACCCAATTTGTGCAAAGATAAGGTTAGGCCGCAGTGTCTTGGGCCATTACCACGTCAAACATGGCTAAAGGACCAGAGGACCACAATCTTGGTCCACATTGCTGTGCAAAAGATCCCTAGATACCTTATAAGGCCGATTCACTCCCGGCACACTCTGTGGGAACCCGGTTCCTAATACCATTCTATTCAACTCTCACTCTCTTCCGATACCTCGACCTCCTCAATCATGTCCGCTGCGGACTTTCAGGCTCTGGGAGTGGATATTTCAAAAATTCCAGCGCTCGCTCCACCTCCTGGAGTCATTCCGAATTTCGTGAACCCGGTATCTCGAGCTTATCAAGCTCAGATTGCGGTTGGAATATGTTTCCCTATCATGGCTGTTTTCGTGTTGCTCCGGGTATATTGTAAACTCTTCGTTACGCAAAATTGGGGCTTTGACGATTGTAAGGTCTCTGGAGATAAAGGCTCTGCTTCGCTGACTTGAAAGGGACAACTATGCTGGCAGTTGTAGGTCCAAAAGTTAGCGTTGGGTCTTCCTGATGCTAACATGGGTCTTAGGCAGTAGCATGTGCATTCCAGGGGCTTGGTCTATCAGGTTTGCCAACTATAATCCAGTCTGTTTTGTGTTTTGGCTAACAATCAAGTCATCGGGCACCCTTTGGGTCCTCACCAGTGGAATGTGCCATTGAGTGCATTCGACGACAATTTCCAGAAGGTTTGAGAAGGAAAAACATTGCCCTTGAGTAATATACTAACAGACGTTTCAAGCGGTCCCTGTCAGGCTCCCTCGCCTACCACTGCACAGCTACCTTAGTCAAATCGGCCATCTTGCTTCTCTATTTTCGCATTTTCAAGCCTAGCAAAGCCGCGCGACTCTTGATCTACGGAGGAATAGGCACGATCGTTGCCTTTTATTTGATCACGTTTATAACCAATCTGAGCCTCTGCGTACCTCGTGCCAGTGATGTAGGGGGCTGGACATCCGCCACTTCCCAGGCTCGCTGTGCTCTTCCGAACCAACGTCTTGCTTTAGGTTCAGGAATATTCAGCTTTATCAGTGATGTCTATGTTTTGTCGATTCCAATCTTCCTGGTCTCTGCCCTCCAACTGCCGCTGCGCCGAAAGATCGGTGTGGCGGCGATTTTTCTTACTGGAACAATGTAAGCGAAGTCCTGTTTTTTGGTTGGATTTTTCTAAACATTATCCACAGCGCATGTGCTTGCTCTCTGACCAGTTTAATATATCGGGTGAGATTCAACGGTCAGAAGGACTTTGCCTGGACGGCAGTTCCTGTGTATACATGGTCGTATGTTGCTCCATCGACTACATGCTGTTGGCTACTGACAGGGCCCAGGTTTGCTGAAGTCAACATTGGAATTGCCACTGGATGCATGCCAACCGTTGCGCCGTTGTTCCGCTCGGAAAGGCGGAAAGGCTTCAGAATTCCTGGACTGAGCTACTTCCGATCCCGCTTTAGCTCCAACCGCTCACGGCAGCCCCTCGTTCATGACCCTTCATACAGACCTCCATATCCAGAACACCCTGGTATGGGTGCTCTGAAGAATGGAGATAGCCACACCGAACTGGGAAGTGCTAGGAGTGTAGCTCAGGATTGGCCCTGAAAATAAAAGGCAAGATCCTGCATCGTGGGCAAGATATATTGGACATTGAACACTTTTCCTAAGGACAGTATCCTGTATAGCGGTCCAACGTTTACAGCTAGTCTTCGATGGGATTGATGAAAATGAAGCTCTCCGTTGAGTACGGTGGACCACTATTGAGTTGGCGCCACATCTAAAATTTTGGATCTTAAAGCTCCTTGTCGATCATTCTATCCCAACTTTCAGATCATCAATGCATGATACAGAGAGAGCACTCTCGTATAATACGATAGACTATTACTGATTTAAGGTCAATTTAAATTTTTACTCCGTAGATTTCTTCAATAGTGTGAAAACGTCATCCTATTGAGCATAGGCTACTGTGCTGCTATAGACTACTTGACTATCTAAGAGAGAATTCAGTTGTACTCCTGAATCCCCTAATAAGGATTTCCTGTGCCAAGACACAGAAAATTAGGTCACGTGGATTTAGCTGTACGGTACAGCTAATTCCTTACGCCGTGTTATGCAGGCGCCGCTACGAGTCCGCTATAGCCATAGGCGTATTACTCGACACTCTCACTCGGGCCGTAGTGTGCCAAGTGGCGGAAGGCGTGCTGGGAGAATAGAATAATGAAAAATGCCACTGTACAGATCTTCTTGATAGCTGTTTATCTAGTGTGCAGAGACGCTGTGAAGTGGCGTAGACCAGCTATAGAGAATGAAGCGAACAGTGTGTAGCACGCAGTAGTGCCAGAAGAAACTAGTGTGCAAAAACCAAGGTGGAACAAACTAGGAGAGACAGGGCGACAAGGAAGACGAAGATGCTACAGAATAGCAAAGGACGACTAACAAATAAGGAAGACAGTATTAGGACTATAGGCACAGAGATTAGTAAATAAAGATAATGTATAAAGAGTCTAAAGATGCTGCTAATTTAAGAGAATAATTAATAACTAAATATATTAAGAAATATTAATTATAATATTTTAGAATTAATAACTTTATAAGTACTTTTTTTTTTAATTTTATATATATTAGGGCTTACACGTGTGCCAAATTACCCTCTACAGCTAGCTAGAAGCTATATAACTGTCAAAATCGTGATTAGAAGGTCAACCTTACCTAGGGAGCAATGACACCGTTACTAGAGCCTGATAGTAGGCCTACAGAACGCAGGCAAGACGCAGGCGGGTTGTAATCAACACGCAGTATTTCTCTAAGTGAGGACTACAACACAAAAGAGGGACTATTACCTATAAAGGTGTAAACTAAGATAGAGGAATCACTTACTAATATTAAGGAGGGTCTTAAGAAAGAAGGGATAAGACTCTAATATCTGGATAAGCTAACAAGCATTATTAATTACGTTTTATTTGCGAATCGCTAGCTACTAACTAGGAGAATAGAGGCACACAACTAGAACAGATTAAGAAGATGCTATAATAGAAAGCTATACTCTTTAAGTAATTTAAAACAGAACTTATAAGCGTTATTATAGCTGCTATACTTATCGCCTACTAACGCTAAGGCGCCGGGTATTAATTAGTACTAGAGACGTTAATAAGGGGCATGCTTACTATATAAAAGCGACTCTAAGGCCCTTACTTGACTCTTTAGTCTTAGGATAGCACTCAACATAGACTAAAGATCTTACGCACTTATTGCGTACTTCTAACGTAACACGTGACATTATCCTAAGACTTTCCTTTGATTAAAAACAGTTGTTAAACTATCAATTACAAGAGATCTATATCTCTAAACCTGTCGCCAGCTCATCCTGGGTCGGTATTAATATTTGAGATCAGACTCGAGTTTAAAGCAAGCCTTTCTGACTTTCTTTGCACTTCTAACAAGGTTAAAGAAGATAAGGAGATTCAGACCTCCGAATTTAAATAAGCGAGATCCTTATACCTAGCGAATAAAAGAATAGGGCGCCCTGTATATATATATATAATGACTCTGTAGTTAAGACGAAGTATAAATATAAAGTCAATATACTCTAGAGCTGTCAGATAGCTACCCTGTTTAAAAGAGCTACTAACCTTTTCCTTACCTTAATAATTACAATATTCTTTAAGGTCTTATTGCCTTTCCTTTTTTGACTTATGTAATACTTTATTAGAGTTAGGCGATATATTAATAATAGTAATACTAACTAGTAACTAGTTACTAATATATGAAAACGTAAAGGCAGCCCTTTAGACTGCATTTAATATAGCTGCCTTTGACTTATCTAGCCTAACTAAAACTAATAACCCTATCCTCTTTGCTAAAAATAACTATCTTAATCCTATCTTACCTTTTAACCTTTCTAATCTTCTTGCTAGAGTAGCTTAGCTAAGAGTAATCATATTAACTAATCTTTAATCTAGTATTAATATTATTCTAATTAAGCTATAGCAACAAAGAGTATAAGAATAAGCTCTAATTAACTAGACGGCTAAGAGGGTCGCCTTAAAGCTAGCGAAAACAGCAAATACTAATGCTTACTTAGCCTACTAAATTTTGGAGAACATTATATAGCTTACTACTACTGGCTAGAAGTTAGAGAAACAGAATACAGCTTTATAAGAACGAAATATAACTTTGCAGGAGCAAATTACTAACCTAATAAAGCAGCTAACTTATTATTAAGCGTCTATATATTAGGCGCCTGCCTTCTTAATATCTTTTATATATTCTAACCTATATATAAAGATAATAGCTAGCTTATAACAGAAGGCTACTCTTATAAATCCTCTTCTAAAGATAGAGCGTACTTTAAACCTGTTATTAATCTTTTTTTTGTCACCTCTTCTAAGGCTTATTCTAACATAAACACAGAATTATCACCCTTATAAGACTAGCTTCTATAAGCTAAGAAATAAGAGAGCCGGCATAAAGCCCTTTAGGTTAACTTCTTTCTTGCCTCTTACTATTAAGAATCTTTGCAAGGGTATTCCTAAGACCTTTAGTAGCCTAAGCAGCCCTAAGGATATCCTAATTAAAGATTAGATTTATAAGACTTGTTCTCTTATTAGCCTTTTTTCTTAGGACGACTTATAAGTTATAAGATTTGTTACTAGCCTTGTAAAGGGCCTTATTAGAGACCATATCTATAAGCGCCTTAAACTAATATTACTATACCTTATTTAGATGCCTAAGAAGATCTTTATTATTATAAAGTAAGCCTTTAGAGAAAGTAATATACTATATTAATAACGTGCTAAGGCGGCCTATACTGCCTTATATTAGAGTGACTAATTATTTAATACTTTCTAGGCTGACTTTATATATTTAGCATTACAGATCAGCAAGTCTAGCTAGGATTAATATAAGGACCTGCAGGAAAAGATGTCTGCTGAACTCCTTCGTGAGATAAGGGATCAGACTTTCTATAACGCCGGCACTATAGCTTATTAGGTTATAGAGCAAGAGAACTGGCTTATACTAATTTGTAGAAAAGAGAGAGAAGAAGAGTGAATCCGCAACTGTGCTTGACTCAATAGCCTGAGGCCTAATACCAGGCGCCCAGAAGCCAGGACTACGCCAGGTAAGGCGTATCTGTTCCCTTTGGCCCTGACAGCAGGCCTACTATGACGCTCTCTTACTTCTTCTCTTAGCTAGGCTACTGGCTCAAAATCAAAGCGCGTGAGTTTTAAGAAGGATGATATAGTAACTTGTTTTTACTGTAACAAGCCTGGCTATATGAAACCTAACTGCCCTAACCTTTACATTAGTAAGATTAAAGAGGCAGAATCTGACTTCGGAGATGAGTCCTTTAGCTCTAACGAGGAATTCACAGAGTTAGAAAACGAGATGCCTTAGGCGAAATTGTAGTCTTGAGCTATTATAAGAGCGTACCTGTTAGGCTTAACTAGCTTATTAGAGGGCTATCTCTTATTATAGTATTTAATCTTAAAGATACAGATAATAAGGTTCTTTATCTTTGTGCTTTAATAGATAAAATAAAGCTAATATATATATTCTAATTAATAGAAAGATCGCTTAGGCTACCCCTTAATAGCTTAATATCTTTCTTATTTTTCTAAAGAGAGCTATCTTACTAATTAGATTTAATAGTTAGTCTAGCAGACTAATTAATTATCTGCTTCTTGTTATAGCCTAGATTTATAGCTATACTCTTATTAATATTTTGCTTTTAGCTACTAACCTTAGCTCTTATAATGTTATTCTAGGCTATAAATAGCTAGCTAAGCACAATATCCTGCCGGATTATAAGAGGAATAAGATATATTAGCTAGAGGACTACTAAGTACAGAAATAGTATAATACTTATAAAGATAGGCTATTTAAGAAGGATATTTAATATTATAGCCCTAAAGTTAGCTTTAATAATGCTAGCAAGGCTAGGACTTAGTTTCAAAAAGCTATATAAGAACAGCATTAGTATTATTAATATTGTAAAGCGGAGCTTAAGTTACTTCTTTCTGATAAAGCTGATAAGAGCCTTAGTCCTGACTCTAATCTAGATAAGGCTAACATTAATAACAAGATAATCTCTGTAAATCTTGTAGATGCTATAGCCTTTCGTATTAGTAGTAAGTAAAATAGTATAATACTAGGGACGATTACATTAGATAGCATTGATTATAAGCTTCAGAAATAAGGCCGCCCTGCTCTCTGCTAAGTCAGCCGAGTTCAGATAGCTAATGATAACAAACAAGATGCCCTTAGTAATCTTAGACCTTGTTCTAATAATCTTGAGTCTATCCTCGGCCATCTTCCTTTATATCTCTGCAACCAAGTAGCCACCTTCTTAAGAGTAGCTACAGATACTCTGCCTTAGCACTATCTGTTTAACTATAAGCTGCGCTTTGACAAGGAACCAGAGATAAAGATGTTACATCTGTACAAGATATTAACTCAAGAGCTTACAGTTATAAGAGAGTATCTAATAAAGAACTAAAGAGCCCGGACAGGCGGAGCGAAAGAGAAGATGGATGACCATGCTCGTGACCATCAGTCTGCTGGTTGCCTTCAAGAACGATGCGGTTGGCTTCATTGCTGGTATGCTT